GCCACCCACCAGGGATGCTGGCAGGAGACATATCAGCACACAGCTTCCCCTCTACCAGCATCCCTCCCATGGATGCCTTCCCAGTAAGGAAGAGCCTTATTATATTACTACTGGGATGCTTTCCTAATAAGGAAGAGATGCTCGTTTTTCTTTTCTTGTCTCAAGAGGCTTGGGGGGAGGGAGAGGGATTAGCAAGGAGCTGGAGCGCAAGGGAAAGCCGCTCGGCTGTGCCCATGGGCGCGGGGCCGACCCCGTCCCTCTCCCGAGCGGCTGGAGAGGTGCCATGGGTGTGGGCAGCGGGACAGCGGGGCAGGACAGGATGGTGGAGGTCTGTTGCAGGTTGGGGCTGAGGTGGGTTGGGGTGTAAGGAGGAGAAAGCACATACAGACCTCACCGGTGCTCCCAGCCCACACCCCAACGAACGTCAGAGTCGCCGTCAACAGTCCCCCATCCTCAGGACCCTGCCAGCAGTCCCCCATAGACACGCACGTCCTAGGCTGGTGGTGGGTTGGCACGGCACCCACTCTGCCCACGGTGGAGGGCACGGACAGCCTCAGCTTGCACAGCTGGTGCTAGACGGGTGCAAAGCCAGCGAAAAGGCCCTGTCTCCAGTTGGGCTCCCTATCCGCGAGGCTGTAGGCACAGGCAAACAGATCTGCACGAGCACCCCGGTCACGGCTCACCACAGGCACGGAGCTGGTTCCCAACCCCTCTCCATCTACGCCTCGCCTATACGCTCCCCTCGCAGTCCATCGCCACAGCCCTGGACCCCCACAGCACAGGCAGCATTTCCCCCCAGCCGGAGGTGGCATTGGGAATCCTCAGCCCCTGCAAAGTCCTGCTGCGCCAAGATTTTTAGCACGAAAAAGAAGAATTCAGGCCGTTCCCGTGTCTTGCGCTTACTGGGCTGATTATTTTCATCGGATGCAGGAAAGCCTTTGGGAGGCCTGGAAGCACGCAGAAGAGGCTCTGAGGCGGCAGTAAGTGATGCTGGGATCCCAGCAAGCAGGTCCCAAGTGATACCTCCCTACCACCAGCTCAGCTCCGTCCCCATCCCTATCCCCTGCCTCGTCCGCAGGGAAAGACGGCGGCGATTTTGCCCACCCACAAGCAAAATCCTTGAGCGAGAGTGTTGGGAGGGCAGGCGACCGGCGCAACCCGCGGCTGCTCTGCCGGCAGCGAAGCAGCTCCTAGTCCCCAGCCAAAGTGCCAGCCAGGGCGAAAGGTCCCGCTGGTGACATCTGGTCCCCACTCAGCAGTCTCAGCAAGCCACCATTCGTCCCAGCCAGCCTCAGGAAGCCCCTCCTGGCCCACGGTGCCGGGAGTGAGCGCTGCTCCCACCATGCTGGCAGGACGGGTTCGGCCGTGGTGGGAGGTGGTGGAGTTCGGCGGAGGGGGTCTCACCTGGCGTTGATGAGGTACTGCGCGAGGCTGATGTTTGCAGGGGTTCCTGTGATGGTAATTTGGCGCTCCGATGACCCTTCCGTGGCATTGGCGATTTTGATCTGTGCTCCCGACATCTGCCGAATTTCATTGATTTTGGTCCCTTGGCGTCCGATTATGCAGCCTATTAGCTAGAAAAAAAGCACGGAGGGAACGTCTGAGAAGCGGCAGCTCCAGCAGTCACCAGCGGGACGCAAGCACAACCGCACGGCGCTGGCTAGAAGCCTTCCTCCCTCTGCCCTGGGGCACGAGTGACCTTAATGCTCATGAAAACAGGAGAGGGACAGCCCAGGGGTGAATCCCATGTGAGCACGGTCCTCCCAGGACACGTCCAGCAGCCTGCCCTGCTCCTTGGGGGCAAATTTCAATTATCCGCACACAGTGCCTGGCATCTCAGAGGCCTTCAGGAAGAGCGAGCCATTATACCAGGCTCATTTGAGTAACGATAATTTTCATGATCTAATATTTGGTCCACGTTTTGCAAGGGTCTAAGGGTGGGAATAAGTCATGTTTCAGACTCTGCTCCACATTTATCCCCTCACTAATCACAGCGAACCTGAAGATGGTTATACAGGAGGCATTACTGGAAGAAAAGGAGCCTGTAACCTTCCTCGGGGACAGCCCAACCGAAGCACCTCCTCATCAGCTGGTGCAGCCACACACCACTGATAGCTCACCCCATCCCACACTACTTCTACCCTGCTGGGACGCCCTCACTTCCTCTGTTACCCCCTTCAGCGATTTTGGTGCAATGCAGGAGCTCACCGGTGTGCACGCCATTGACAGGAGAGCACCCCATGGCTGCAACACCAGCAGAAGAGGAGAATCCTACTTAAAAACATGTCTTTCACACCCTTGTGAAAAAAAATTAGAGCCAGCTGGAGGCTTGAATTTCCTCAGTTACCTGCCCCTTGAACTTCTCAATGGTCCTCAATGGCTGGAATTTCTTCAATAGCCTTCACCTGCGGTCCTGCTCATTTGTCCGTCAAACAGTAGTTCCCTCAAGCACCTCCACACCTCGGTAACACATACCAAGACATCCAGCTTTACCAACACAGGCACAATGTGTTCCTGCATGCCGTTCTGGGCCGTCAGCATTTGAGCTCCTTTCCAGGGTTGCACACGGGAATTTTATATGTGGGACATTTATCTTGGCAGTTGCTGGATTTCTGTCACTGTAGAGGTAAAGACAACTACTCCAAATGTTCACTGGTCCTGTTGTCAGCCCATGGGGCTACCTTAGTGGTCTGTCCCATACAGACCCGAATATTCACCCCACTGCAGTGCTGGAAGGGTATCAACTATCTTGGGGAGTGCAGCATGACGTTCATCCCAACAGCCACCCATCCTGGTCTTCACAGTGCAGAAATAACTCAGAGTTGCTTCAGCAAATGTAAATCCCTTACAGCTGGAACCTGCTGGAGAGACCCGAGGAGCCAAACATATTTGGAGAGATGTTCAGCAACATCCAAGCATCTCCTCACAGTCCTCAAGGTTCTCCTGACAGTCAGAGGAGCGACAAGATGAATTTCAGCAGCAGCTTTCCTTCAACTCCCTCTGCAGCGCAGCCACAAACTGATCTACACCACTAAAACAAGCCCGTAGACCCTTTGCTTTAAGAAACCCAAACCTGTCCTCTGCTTCCTGGGAAGGTGACAATGGGAATTTAAGAGCCTTCAAAACAACGGGAGGCAGAGCTAAGGAGGCATTTTTCAGCAGGTGGAAAGATGCAGGTGATGACTTTTAACTCTGCTCAGGTCTGATGAGAGCCAGGCTTTCAGCAAGCAAATGCTCCAAGCGCTCCTGGGTCCTGTGGCAGGTCCCGTGGCAGGTCCCTTGGCATGTTAAAAGGGGAGGAAAGGCCCCTTTGCAACGGATCACTTGATATTCCTGAGGATGCTCTCATCACTGTCAGGGCCACAGTTCCCCACACTTGACAGACGTGGCTGCCGCAACCTTGGGAGCGCTTGCAGAGCTCCCCACAGCCTCCTCGACCAGGCTCCTCACCGGATGAACAGAAGCAGACCCGGGATCGGCCCGGTCACACTGTATCCCATGGGGTCCTCCCACAGCGGCTGACCCTGGGGTGAAGCATCTCCAAGGGTTTCAACTGGCAGATGCTCAGAAGCTGTTTCACTGCCACATCTCCCGGGTGGAAGGAGGCCTGGACACGCATCCCGGAGGAAGAGAGGTGCCTGGCAGCCGCAGCTAGGCTTGCTGCCCTTCCCTTGTGCTGCCGTGCATCGGTCAACCACACGACGTAGCGGCAACAGCTGCCAGGCCCGATCCCGAAACTCCTGATGAGGATGAGCTGAAGGTTCTTGCAAGATGATGAGGACAGAGACTGGAAGTCATTTCCCTGCTTGCCCCCATCCCGATTTGAGCACCCGCTGGTTTTCAACCCATGGAAACCGGTGGGCCAGTCCAGAAGCAAATGCAGCTGTGTTGGGCTCTCCATCCCGCCTCCTCCCACTTGAGCACCCTCCTCACGCCGCTCAGTGCCCAGCATGTCTCCAGCCTCCTCCCAGTCAATATCCCAGTCCAACATCCACTTTACCATCTCTAAGTCCCCAGAGCTGCCTGCCGCCAGCACTAAGACGAGACGCACCGTCCTTCAGACACCTGTGTGGCACTTCCTGGCATCAGAAACACCATTTACTTACCTCCTCCTCACATTCCCACACCCCAGTAACTACACTTGAGCTGAAACATCACCTCAGATCTGCCAGTGCTAGATTAAGCAATCATAGTTCAATCAGGGCTGGCTGGGGAGCTTCCTCCCCTTCCCAATGCTGTCAAATGGGCATGTTTCATGAGCACGGAGTTCACTTGGAAAGGGAAAAGGAACACTGAGAAGGATTGTACCTAAGAAAGCTACCAACAGGGTGAAGTCCAACAGGTGCTTTATGCTGCAGGCTGATCCCCAACAGACTGCACATGGCCTGGGCGAACCTGGGCATCTCTAAACGTGTTTATCAAAGTCACATGCCTGCAGCCTTTATATATATATATATATATACACACACATATATATATATACAGACACACACATGCCGAGGAAACACTTGGATTTACTTACATCATTGGGAATGGTGAGTTCATGAGTACTGGCCGGGGGACTGGCATCCAAACCTGGGCATATGTAAGGGAACATGGTTATAGCTTGCAGAGGCAGTGTGGTGGAGCTCCGCTGCTTTCCCGCAACAGTCAACACTGCAAAGGCTGCTCCGGGGCTGGGAGGTGAAGGGGATCACACACTCTGGTACAAGGAGGAGGAAGATAGTTGCTACCTGACTCTGCTACCCTCCCCTGCCATCCCTCAAGCTGGCCTCGCTGTCCCATGAGTGCCTCGCTTCTCACCCTCCATCCTCCCACTGGGAATGGCTTCAGAGGAGGGTGCGTTACAGCGCAAGGTTGCGCGGAGAGAGGTGGGAAAAGCACTTTCCCACGGAGCTCTCCTCTACACAGCAGCTGGGAAACCCAAGCTTAGAGACAGACAGCCTGCCAGCGGGAAGGCTGTCCATGCACCATCCAGCCCTCTCTGGACACAGAGCTCCTTGGCTACGACACCAACTTGGCACCCCAAATCCAGCTTCCCTGGGGCACCCAGAGGTGCCAGCACAGGGCAGCCTGCAAAGCAAGGCTTTAAAGCCCCGAGTTCAAGCCCCACAGACTTGCACGCAGAATTTAAGCCAGAATGCTAAGACAGGCATGCTAGCTGGACCCAGGACCCACAGTCCCTCTTACTCCCTATGGAACGCACGGCAAACAGTATGGAGATTTAGAGCCCGCTTCCCTACAAAATTACATGGCAAGGAGTGAAGGCAGCAACATGCCTCCTCCCAGCCTCTCCTAGGCCAGGGAGGGCATTCTCCTCCACGGTGGGAAAGGCTGGAGCCAGCAGCCTGTGTGTGCAGCTCCAAAGGTAAGAAGACAGCATGCCGTAACACTCCTGGGCCAGGTCGAATCCTGCCTCTCCCACAGGTTTCCATATTAAATCACTTCAGTGCTGAAGAAGGGATGTCCTATGTCAAATCTGCAAGAGAGAAGCTGTCTGGTGACTGACAGGAATTTGCAGTAACTGCAAAAAAACCCCTTATCCATATGATATAATTACTGATGGAAGCTTTTAAGAGCAGTGTGTGCAAAAGGACGAGCCACTGCAAGGTCTGTATCCAAGGAAAGAGGGGATAAGGAGGTGCAAAGTAAAGAAGCACAAGGGGACTGGAAGTTCTGGGCTGCTACAACATAAGACAGAAGCAGCACCAAATCCTCCATGCCGCACAGCAATATGCTGCTGCCCTAACTGTGCTGAGCAGCTCCTGCAAGCAATGGCCAAGTTTTGCTGGTCTGCATTTCCACCGAGGCCCTCTGCTCCGCGGAAGAGGACCTCCCATCCAGTTTTGCTGGCAACAGCAGCACAGGTTTTAAAACCCAGCAGGTCTGAACTGATATCTGACCGGGTACCAGCACCGTCAAAGCAAAATTACTAAAATACTGAAATGAAGCTTTATGTTGCAGTCCCATCACAGGATCACAGAATGGTCAGGGTTGGAAGGGACCTCTGGAGACCATCTAGTCCAAACCCCCTGCCAAAGCAGGTTCAACTAGAGCAGGTTGGACAGGAACGCATCCAGGTGGGTTTTGAATAACTCCAGAGAAGGAGACTCTACAACCTCCCTCTGGGCAGCCTGTTCCAGTGCTCGGGCACCCTCAAAGTAAAGAAGTTTTACCTCAATTCAGCGTCATTTGCCATTTCAGCATCACTCCTAGAAAGGAGAATACAGAGCATCTTGGATGCAGTCATGCATGATTCCTGCGCTTCCCCAGCTGCACCTCCCTTACAGGGACACAGCGCCTGGCTACACCACGCAGGCATCTGCTTGCAGGAGGTCTCTTTACCACATTTTTCACTTGGGATCGCACAGAAGAGGAGAAAGGCAGGGGATGAGGATGCAAATCCTCCACTCAGCAGCCTTATGCCCTCCTTCACCCCTGCCAGGTGTACTAACACCAAAGCCTGCACAAAACAGCTCCTGCCCAGGTTTTACACAGTGGACAATGCTTAACGCTGACTTTATAGCATGCTGCACTGGACGAGACACTTCACCAGCCCGAGGCCATCTTTAACGCCCTCACAGTGTGGGGCAAGGCAAACTGCACCTCATACAAGGACAAGTCCTCCAGGGCATGGGTGTCCCTGCCTCTCTGCTGCTGAAAGCTGAAGCACTGCACCAGCCCCTGCGTCACGATGGCCATAGAGGAATGGCCACATCCTCCTCCAATACCTGGAGATTGTTTATTTTAGCATATGAGATCCTCCCCCACCCCATACGCACATGCAGTCCCCACGGCTGTAATGGGAGGAATCCATGTGCTCAGCTGTGCTCGGCCAGGGTGGGATTAGTGCCACGGGTGATTGCAAAGGGCAAAGCAGGGCGTGCAGAAAACAGGGCTGTGCAGGCTGGCATAATGAAATCCGTATTTTCTACAGTCTTGTGGGGTCTGTTTACTTGGGCTATGTTTGCCTTCACAGTTAGGCAGGGTCCCCAGACTCTTTCGAGACATGGATGCGATGCAACCCGGCTGGCTGCAGAACACACGTGTGCCCCGGGTGTGCCCAGGGGAGGTCTGGTTCATGTTCGCCCGTGAGCCACCAAGTCTCAAGATAACTTCTCTAAGCAATGGTAGGTTATAAAAGACAAGCACGTTCAGCACATATGGATGAATGTGTGGGACATTCAGCGTCAAAGTTGCTCCAAGATTATGGCCCTGCTTTGGCTCCTCAGGGTCCTGTCCCAGTAAAGACGCAGCTCACCCCGAATGGCTTAGCGACGGCTAAAATTCTGTCTTGTTTCTGTTCCCACCGGCACCTTTCCACTGTTTCTGAGCAAAGTTTATGCAAAATTAAATGAAGGAATAAGGGTGATGACTCTGTCTTTCCATCATGCGGGTGGCAGTTATATGCAAACATCAAAAGACTAGGCAGTGAATTACAAGCACTTTTCTTTCGACATGCTATACAAAGGCAGGCACAGCACTGCCCAGTCTCTCCCTGCCCACCAAGAAAATCTGCCATCTTCTCCACAAATACCACAATTTATCTAAGAGACAAACAATGGCACAGTCCTATTTAAGAAATATAGTCAAAGAGAAGCCTGCTTATTTCCCTGTAGCTTTGTGTTTTACCTGATGATTGGCCCATCAGATTTTGAGCTTCTTCGGAGGAATGTAAGGGCAGCTTTTCTCCTGAAGAGCAAAGAAGAAACAGGTTTAATGCTTTTGCCTTCGAGGAGATAAGCAATGTCACTTCATCTAGGAAGCTCAAAATATGATGAACATACTGTCAGAAAAGGCATTTCCAAACGGCACTTTGACCACTGAGTAAACAAAGGTACTTTAAGTATCTCCATCCCCTGCGCTCTATCTGCTTCCCAGCTCACCATGAAAACGCCAGCCTTGGGGACGAGGCTGCTGAGCCACACCACGTCTGCCTGTCCTCCCGGCAACGCGGCTCCCTGCAGCCACGGCTCCTTCCCATCGCTCTCCCCGGTGCGGGGGTGCCGTCCTGCCCGGCTCAGCACCACTCCCCACGGACGCCGAGGCAGCATCCCTGGCCGGCACTGAGCCGTCCTCCCCAGGAAAGCGTGCATGTCCCAGCGGGGTCCGGATCAGCACACAGTGGGGGATGCTACCTCCTCCGGGTGGGGAAGGATGGGAGACTGGCGCTCATCGCTTCTGCCGGGAAAGCCAGCAAAGCTGGGAGCAAGGTAAGCGTGGCTTCACGGGAGCAGGCCTGGCGTGCACGGCTAAGGGCTGAGAGCTCGCCAGTGAGGACTGTAACCCCCAAACTTCCATCTAGTCTACCTGTTAGCCTTTCCCCACGGACACTGCAACTGCGGTTTCACTTGCCCTGCTTGTTTCCATTAAATAGCATGAGTTAGAAAGAGAGAGAAACTCTACAGGTAAGAAGAGAAGGATATCTAGAAAGGGCATGTGGGTACGTACCAGGGAAAGCGGGGGTGGTCTGTCCAAGGGGAGTAAAGGGGGTTTGCTGCATAGCCAACTGGTGGAGCTTGGTCAACTGCTGAGGGGTAGGAGGGACATTAGAGCTAAGAAGGTTATTGTCATAGAGTACAACAAGTCACACCGAAAATCAAGAACAAAATTATAACGGAAGAAAAAAAAAAAAGAAAAACAAACAAAAAAAAAACCAAACCAGGAAGCCATGGTGAGACATGGCAAAACCATTAGCAGAAGGACTTGGCCTGGGTAAAATGCAATAGCGCCCAAATCTTTTGCAGAAGTGCTTGGTCAGGGTCTGAAGTACGATACCAGCAAGAAGCCCATTCTCAGTTTCCGCCCTTCGTCAAATGGTTTGGCTCCTCCGCGGCGAGCGAGGGGCTGCCCCGGCACACGGCCGGCTGCTGCCTACGGCGCTTCCAGCCGCAGCCTTCCCCTCCCGGGCTTCGCAACCCACAGCCAGAAGCTGCTGCTTGCTTCGGGATGGCTTTAGAGCAGAGGAGCCATCACAAAGCCACTGCCAGAGCGCTTGGCCATCGCATGCCAGAAGACCCTCTTTGTGCCGATGGAGCCGCATCGCGGCTGCTTTGTCCCTGCAGCAAACGCTCTCATGCCGCGTCTCCGACGGGAAACACCTCCGGGAGACGGACAAACCGCGGCTCTTAACATCAGCTCGTTACGAGCGCGAGCCCATTAGCAGTGTGGGGAAATTTGGGCTTCGGCCATGACCAGTAGGTATTTCAGATCCTTGTATCCCTTGTTGTGATGGGTAGCTTTTCGTGCCCCATCAGGAAGCAGTTGCATAGAGAGGAGTTTGTTTGGAATACATTTTGTGCTCTGTTTCACTGCTTCAAATTAAAAAAACCCAAAACAAAACAAAACAAAAAATCAAATAACAATAAACCAAAAGAAAACAAAACAAACTGGGCTGAATTCTAGCAGTGAGCAGGAGGGAGGGTCTTTATCACCTCCTGCTCGGTGCTCAGAGGATTGCCAGGATCGCATCATCCCCCAAGTGCAAAATGCTCCTTGCACCCTTCTCCTGGAGTTATGATTCCCATGTTTTGGGGAAACGATACTCAAAAACCTCCTTGCTCCTGCAGCATGGCCAGGGAGGGAGCGTGGGGAGGTCCGGCCGGCAGCGGTGAGGGGGAAGCACTGGAGAGAGCAGACCCGGAGGGCTGAGCACACCGGGGGAGAGACTGGAGGGAGGCAGCAGGGAGGAGAAACGCCTGCAAGTCCTGTGAGAGGCACCCAAGGGATCCCAGCCCGGCTGAGGCATGAGGACTCTCAGCCTCTGCCAGCTCTGGGGAGAGGTCTCGCCGTCCCACAAGAAGGTGCGTGCACATCTCTCCCAGTGCAGCACGGAAA